AAAAAAATTGAAAACAACACGTTTAACAATTTCATGCGTCCGAAGCGCTTTTCTGGATTTACCTGCATCAGGAACGCTCAAAGCCAATCATTTGAAATCCGAGGAGGTATGAGTACCAAAACCGTTGAAGAGCTATATGACAAAAAATACCTAAAATAAATAGCCAAATTCATCTAAAGTCAAGTTTGCCTGAGGGATTTGAAACCTTAGTTTCTTAATAATTTCAAAATTTAAAAACGGACAATTTTAGAAAAGTTTGTTAAATCATGTCAGTACCGAAGTACTGACTACTGAGCTGATGATACCCTCGGGGACTGATAGTCCACCAGCAGAGGTATTGACCCAGTGATGTTAAAAAAATAAATAATGGAACATATCCGTTGTTATTTAAAAAAACGTGTGTCATTTTCGAAATGCGGATCTTGTGCAGTGATAATGGTTTCCCATATGCGTGATAAATTGCAAACAGAAATCAAAAAGGATATGCTTGAATACACAGATACACAAAAATCCCTCATTACTAAACAAACATAGATATTAGAATTACGTTTTTAGCAGGCGTTGAAAGTTTTATCATTTTTTTAATATACGATATATAAATCCATCGAAGTATATTCTGCTCATTTTATGTTTTAGCCATTCGAGCATTCACTGTCCAAAACTCAAAAGTTTTCTACAATGTACCTATCGCATATACAGGTATATTTGATCGTGTTTTAACAAACGAAGGAAGAGGATACAATGCCCATTCTGGTGTTTTTACAGTTGATGTTTCTGGATTGTACATATTTCTTTTCAACATAAGAGTACAATATTACAACCAGTTATGCTATAGTGAACTGGTAAGAAACAACAATAAAGTGGTAGTGACAATGTCTTGTTCGGGTACAAAGTACCATCAGCACAGCAGTGAAAGTAATTTTGGAATCATCAATCTAGTTATTGGGGACAAAATATGGGTGAGGTCCTCGCCTACGACAGCGACTGGACAAACTTGTACCGTTGATGATTCATCCAGGATATCTGCTGAATTTATTATAACATTCCTGATTTTATCTATATGTTTCTTATATTTTTTTATATTCCAAATGTCAACGCTGCGTGCTTGTAATGTTTGAATACATTATCCTAAAGTAACAAGTTATGTATACCATTCATTGTAAAACAGCTTTGAAATAAAAATGTTTCTTTCATTCTTCTATTAAATCAACATCTGTCAATTCTTAGTAACCCATGACTTAGACTGAGACTAAAGTTGGGTGATCCAATAATGATGTATAAATTGAACATCTAATTAATGTTGAAGTGTTTTCTCAATAAAATAGGTAGTATGTTCGGTAACTCAATTGTTTGATAGTCAGTTCAGTATTTTCGATGCCATCTGCTGTGAATTAAACCTCATAATTGACTCGTTTGAGGGTGTAAGATTGTCTTTGATTATATGCGTTCTATAATTGTTATATTAAGACAATTTAATTTTTGAAAATTAACAAGAGAATAGTTTTGTGACTAGCAATTATTTTTAAAAAAATCAAGTGAAGTCGTCGTTTAAGATCCAGTTTGATGTAGCATTTTTGTTTTTGGGAGGGGTCAATTGTTAATCAATCATGAATTAAACAACTCGTAAAAGACTGAAGAATAAATTGTTCAAGCATGTTCGGTCTTACCGTTATTTTTCAGGCTTATCTCTTTAGGTAAAAGTCGTACTGATCAGAAAATTTACTTGCAATCAATTTAGATCAGTTAAGTCGACGTTTGGTATCAGCCTTATATGCCAGCCGGCACAGGAATAGTTATGTCGACGTTTAGACTGTCCTGTTGTTGATATTTACTAGACAGAAATACCAAAATACTCAATGTATTACAGCTATGGGTTAATAGCAAAATGTCTGAACGTTGCTGGGTTGGCAGCAAGAAAATATCTGAAAAATGACTTCAAGTTTAACCAAGACATGACGTTTCAGGTTCACTGTTTAGAGATGTTATTCAGACCAAAACAACCATTCAAGGCAAACAAGAGTGTATTGTTGCTTGATATTTCAATCATTTCATTGTCTGTTTTCCATGACATTTTTTTTTATTTCACTTGGATGACGTTTACACTGTTTTACGGCTCAACACGATTATTATAAGTCATAATATTGGAATAACTTTTTTTTGGTAAACAATCCCCTCGTGTATACCCCTCGTTCAACATGTACATAATATGCACAAAGAGAAAAGACAGATTATGATTTTCTTATATAACACGTGAACGTTGTGTGTCTGCGTGGGAGCCTTACAATTATTTAGGCAACTCTAATGGTTTAAAAGAGGGGCGAAAGATATCAGAGGTAATTTCAAACTCATAGATCCAAAATAAACTGACAACGCCATTGCTAACAAAGAAAAAGACGAACAGACAAACACTAGTACACAAGACACAACATAGAAAACCAAAGACTAAGCAGCACGGACCCCACCAAAAACTGGGGTGATCTCAGGTGCTTCGGAAGAGTAAGCAGATCCTGCTCCACATGTGGCATCTGTCATGTAATTACAAACCCAGTAATAGTCTAATTCGGTAGGTCACATTCGTGAAAAAGGAAGGCGATTGTAGTAACGACATAAGGAACATATCCGATATTATCTGTGAAACGATTATTCCATAACGGTCAACCATCTCATGATGGCGTCCGTTAATGTATTCAAGTTTAAATATATTGTGAAATAACTTGTTTTTCTTCTAACATATATCAATTGGCTTTATCAAGTTGCTTTGATTGAAATATAACACGCATTTTTTAGTCACGAATATTTCTGAATAATATGCTACACATCGTCTAGTCTTCACTCTTTTCTATGTTATTCGAAACGAATGTTTGCACTACAAATTCTTGTATTTCTACAAATTTTAGTCTCCCCTTGCCCAATACCTTCACTCATAAACATTACGCATATACGAACAATAATATTTTTAGGTACTGTAAATGTATCAGACAAAAGGTATATATAAGAATACCCGTTAACATATGTTTCATTATACAAAAGGCATTATTTGGATTATCAAGAAAGCAGCAAATCCAAAATTCTTTAGGCACTGGATGCAATTGACTTTTAATTTCTTCTGTAACAGCAAAACCACCTATAAGCTCAATATTCTAGCAGCACCTATTTAGTGTAAATTAACGATAGTTCAAACTGTTGTCGGTTATTTTTCCAATTCCGACTTTTATTTCTTTAGGTTAGAAAGCAGACAAAAAATATATGTGATACTTTACACATTGATATAAATTTAGAAATTTTAAAGAAACTAAGGTTTCAACTCCCTCAGGCAAAGTTGACCTTAGATGAATTTGGCATTTTTTTTAAGTATTTTTTGTAATATAGCTCTTCAAATGTCTCTGTACTTATACAACCTCGGCTTTCAAATATTTGGCTTTGAGCGTTCCTGATGAAGGTAAATCCAGAAAAGCATTTCGGACGCATACAATTATTAAACTTGTTGTTTTCAATTTTTAACAGCACTGAGTCGATACCTCTGCTGGTGGTCTATCAGTCCCTGTGGGTATCATCAGCTCAGAAGTCAGTACTTCGGTACTGACATGAATTATAACAAACTTTTTTAAATTGGTCCGTTTATACATTTTGAAATGTTAAAGAAACTAAGGTTTCAACTACCTCAGGCAAAGTTGACCTTAGATGAATTTGGCTTTTGCTGAGGTAATTTTTGTCATATAGCTCTTCAACTGTTTCTGTACTTATACAACCTCGGATTTCAAATATTTGGCTTTGAGCGTTCTTGATGAAGGTAAATCCAGAAAAGCGCTTCGGACGCATAAAATTATTAAACGTGGTGTTTTCAATTTTTAATGCACTGGGTCGATACCTTTGCTGGTGGACTATCATTCCCCGGGGGGTATCATCAGCTTAGTAGTCAGTATTTCAGTACTGACATGATTTATAACAAACCTTTCTAAATTTGTTCGTTTATAAAATTTGAAACTTTAAAGATACTAAGGTTTCAACTCCCTCAGGCAAAGTTGACTTAGATGGATTTGGCTTTTTTTTAAAGTATTTTTTGTCATATAGCTCTTCAACTGTTTTTGGTACTTATACATCCTCGGTTTTCAAATATTTGGCTTTGAGCGTTCCTAACGAAGTTTAATCCAGAAAAGCGCTTCGGACGCATACAATTATTAAACGTGTTGTTTTCAATTTTTTGATAACTGACAACAAAATTAAAAAAAAATTAGTGCAATATGTAGAAGAAAGACAATCACTAAAAGATCCAACGACAGGACACACAACAGTAAACTAAAATCGACACAGAAAGCTTCGTAACAGCAATTCCGTCCCCTTTTCCTGGAACATGATCTACGATATGAGGCTTATACCCTGGATTTGTACTTGAAACATGCCAAATGCCACATATGGAACATAATCTGTTTACCCTTTTAGAGCATGTGATATCCCCTAGTTGCAGCTGGTGCTCGTGTTGCTCAGTATTCAATATTCTGTGTTGTTTTTGTGTTACTGTAATTGTTTGGTAGTCTTTTGTTTATGAGCCATCGCAACTGCATTTAATACAATCATGCTTACCGATAATACAAAATAAATAGTTGTCAGTTTATTTTCGACTGATAACCTAAATGTACATTTGGTACATGTATATATCTCTTAAATTTCTTCATCAGAAGGGGTTTCCATTCCTCTTTTCTGATAGGAACATTCGTCGTGAAGTCATGTCCAAATACTCTAAAGATGACTCTGCGACAAGATCTCAAATCATGATATGATAACTCTGCAAAATAAAAAGTAATCCCTTCAAACAAAGTAAAAATAATGCGGGAGTTTGAAGTAAATAAGACATTGGTTTCAATGGAAAAAAAACTACGCTAATAAAAACCTAGACAAGACACAAAACAATAAAATGCAACTCTGAATTCAAAACCACAGAACTTAATTGGAAATCAAAATTAGATTCAAGTAATCCAGAAGGGAACACAGATTTTAATCCACCTATTATATATAACGTTTCGTCATTGACAAACACATAAATGTAGAATTCAGAGAAGGACAGAAACACATTCTTCATATGAGTAATGGAAATTTCCATTGTCATTCTTTTTTTCGATTGCGAATGTTTATGCACGTATTAATAGATATAAAACCAAAATAAGATGTTCAGGGTTTCTGGTGAATACTACTGATCCAAATCTTGTTAACAAGCCTGATCATATACGTCATAGTTTGTTCTATCGATTTGCAAACCTGAATCTGAAACGTCATATTCAGAGTATGTTTTCATATTTGTAAAGGAATGATCGTACGTATCCATATCTACTCCAGTAGAACTTGTAGCAGTATCATATGTGGGATCGTTACGATTTCGGACTCCTGCATTGCTATCGTAGGTATTTTCACCAGCTTTTGGTTTTCGTCCATCAATGTTATGTAAATGATCATAGTCTACATTTGAACTCTCTATATGAGTATCCTCTACTCGTTTGACTTTCTGCACTTGTGCATATGCATTGTTTGTTTTGATATTTTTTTCTTTTCCTTGATATACCAATCCATAACCCTGATTGACGTGTTGTTGACTGGTTGCTTCACCACTCAATGATTTCGTAAATGCTACATTTGTCGATTTCATTGAATTATTTTTTTTGAAAACTCCGACTCGCCTACAAAACAATATGGTATCCTTGTATTTTAAAAACAACATAAATTGAAACTGAACTAAAATTTATTGACAGATCACGTGACTTAGAACCTGTTTTACTTCTCCATCTTGTTTATTTGCTGTTTGAAAGATTTGTATTTGCAACTAAAGTAACATTTCTATAATTTGATTCAGGAAATCACCTTTGACTAGTGAGGACAAAGACATGATATGATCGCTTCGGTTACGTTTATTGCATATATTTGTAGTATACGATCACTTTCGCATCGTACTTGAAAATTGAAAAATTGGTACTACTTATGTTATTTCTACCACATGGTCGATGCCACGGTTGGTGGACTGATAGTCGTTGAAGGTATCACCATCGTAGTAGCCAGTACTTCGGTACTGACATGAAAATATGGATTTTGTGTTATTGAAATTTGCTGTTACAAAACATTTTTGAAATTATTTGAAATGTATCTCCCTCATGCAAAGCTCTGATTCCTTGCCCGGTGTTGGTTATACTTTTTTTTTCTTTTTTAGTTTATAGCTCTTCATCCTTTAAATACACTTTGGACTTTCAATTATTTGGACCTCGACCATCACTGACATTGAAATGCGCGTCTGGTGCAGAAAAAATGTTAGCGTTTATGTTATTACATAATATATATATGTTTTTATAGATTTTACCTGAGTTTGCACAAAGTAACAGTAACACCTATCAGTAAAATGATGACCACACCAACCGATCCACCTACAATGGCTCCTGGAACAAAAATATTAGCAATACCATATTGAATATAATTACGCAGAATATATTTTGTGTTAGTTAAATAGATTTGAGAGCAAGTTTTGGATATACATGTAATACAAATGAGTGTTTGGGTCCTCAAAGCTATTCAACTTTATCCTTGTTTAGCTTTCTAACTATTATGATCTGAGCGTCACTGATGAGTCTTACGTAAACGAAACGCGCGTCTGGCGTATCAAATTATGAGCCTGGTATCTTTGAAAACTAATTAAATGAAAACTGTCTTTAAGCTTTAATACCAACAAACTTGTTTAAAGATCGAAAATCGAATCTGTAGAGCAAACAAGTTTCACCAAGAGCCTTTGAGTGTATGATTGCAATCTCAATTGACACGATTAACAAGAAAATCTACCAATACGGGGATTGGCGTCCACAAACAGTTTTCATCCGAGTATTGTTGTATGTGCAGATCCCAAGTCAGGAGCATGTTATTCAGTAGTTGTCGTTTGTTACATTATAGCTACTTGTTTCTCGTTTGTTGATTTATAACTAAATCAGGTCGTTTATTTTTCCTGTTTGATTTGTTTTTACTTTTCTATTATAGATCGCTTTACGGTATTGGGTTTGAACAGTGTCAATTACCGTAAAGTGACCTACAGTTGTTATTTTGTTTGAGACCAGGCTGTCAGTTTGAATGGTTATTTTGGTACCTTTAACTGTTAAGCGATATGTTTTTTTTTACTGATGGACGCAGTACGGTAAACACTGTTACTTTTCTTTTTAGCCACTTTTTTTGCCATTACAATATATTTGTCGCCACTTTCTTCTTTTTATCGCCAACTATCATAATCATTGTTTTACTAATATTTTCATTCTTTCTCACAATATAAAAAAAACTCAATCTATGTTGTAAGAAATAAACATTAAATAATAATTTAAAAAAAAAAATTTATTAAAAGATACTGTACAATTTTAATATTGGTAATGAAATACAAATTTTGACCTCTGGAATTACGGGGTTCACCTTCAATAGGTTAATTAGATTCTACCCGAAGAAATGAAAACTAAAATCAGATTGTTTTCTTATTATTTCTTATTTTTCCTTATACTAACTCTTTCTTTTTCGAGCACCATAAAAAAGATTATATTGAGACGTAAAACGACAAAGTGAACGAATACAGTTTAGTAACGGGGCTTTTTCTACTTTAGAATATAGCTTCTGTTCCAAAAAAATTGTTAAAAGTAAAAGTCGAGACCTAAAACTATGCTTTAAACACGTGCGTTGCTTAAACGATTGTGAAGTACACACTTCAAAACAATAATAGTTCGCGAAGTTGAAAAATAAACGTGTACAAAACAATAAAGATGACATGTGACGACATTACACAACCCAATTACTTTGAAAATACAATCATCATCATTATTAATTTGTTTATTTTTGCCGATAACTACATGTATACACTGCAATCATCTGAATCAGATCCATAATGCGTAATTGCTCTCTAATAGATCTCATGTACGCATACTCACAAATGATTTTACACTGGGATTTATAATCTGTTAGTTTTAAAAACATTCTGCTGATAATATAAAACTGAGTTAACTTATAACATGTCATTTACCATAATTTAAATCTGTTGCTGCATCTGTGCGGTATGTGTTTTCAGCTGTAGTGGAATCTGAATGAAATAACGATACATATAATATAACAGATAATGTTTTTCTTTTTTTAATTTATTAAGGTTAAATTGTATGATAAATTTGACATGTCGATACAAATAAAGTTTTTATTTCTGTAGAATTTGTTCTGCGAATTGCTCAAGTTTGTACTGGTTTTTACTATGCTGTGTGATCTTTTGTATGAAGTAAATTACAAAAAAATAAATTAGAGTGTAGGATAACACGATTTTTTAATGTCAGTAACTGCGAGGGTTTAATATGATTAATGATAATTTTAATTGCATTTACACATCCGTGAGTTTCAAAAGTTTGGATTGCACGTTCCTGGTGAACTTTTCTAAATAAACAGCGCTTTAAACGCAAGGAATGTATACATCTCTAAGTTCCATATAACTGGTATTAATTTGTTCGTCCCACGCTTAATATCAATGCTATTTATCTTAGGTAATTGATGTTTGATTAGATATTTTGAGCAATGCATACGTTTATATATTTTATCTGATAGAATTTAGCGGAACATTTATTGATTATTTTCGGAAATATTTCAACAATTGGTACGGTTCCACAGATTTGTATTTATTGCATATCCGTCCTTATTACACTTTGTATACAAAGCCGTGTTCTATTAGCCCAAAATATGTTTGACACATGCGCCCAAATTTACTGTTTTTATTCTCGTTATTTTAATGTTATTATAATTAAAATACATTATAATAGCTAACATAAACTCTTTCTAGATATTGTTTATAAAAAAATATATTTCCCTGTTTTTAGTTTTTAAACTTTTTAAATATGAAAATTTAATGTACAGAATGCACTGGAAGAAATCGAGAACAGCCAAAAAATGCTAAGGTATTGTCGCACGCTTCGACCTTTAAAAATACTGTATTTGTTCTATTACAATCGAAATAATTCATTCATGTCATGTCATGAGCTATGCTCATTTTAACATGATTCGCATTACATTTGATCATTCTTTAAACCTCGCTAACGAGTAGTGTAAAATATCGAAAAATATAATACCTATCCATGTTAAAATGAGCATAGAGCATGACATAAAGGAATTATTTCTTATTTGAGAAATTAGACTGTAGGGTATCAGATATATCATTTAAAATATTCTAATTTCTCTACAGGTAAACCGATTGTTATCGCTGTCTTAAATCACGAGTCTTGATTTATTTAATGCCAAAATTGCTTATTTTATATATTATGTTATTAATTAAATGATTAGCGATAATTTTCTGAAAAAAAAAGACACAAAATGAAATACTATATATGTTAATAAAGACAACAGTAGTATACCGCTGTTCGAAACTCATAAATCGATAGAGATAAAAACAAATCCGGGTTTGTGCATACTTATTTTTGTGCAGTTAAATTTACGGGACAGGAGACATTTGTTGCTAAAAATCATGTTTAACCCTGTTGCATTCTTAATGTGCCTTGTGGCACCGTTAATGTCCACCATTAGAGATTAATCACGCAATGTTTTCGTCAATTAACTCTTTTTAAATCCTAACGAACGATATAAAAATAAATTTTACTATAATTTGGATCTGTTGCTACATGTGTGTGGTATGTGTTTCCACCTGTTTTTGAATCTGAAGGAAATAGCGAATGTATATCAAAATAAGAATATATGAGTTATTTCATACAAAAATTTTTTTTGTATTTTTCACAAAATCTATAATAGTTACGAATATAACATTTCCTTTTAAACTATTATTTCATGTATATTGTTAAGTACAAAACAGATCAACATATAATTGTTGCGATTTCTCATTCAATATGTGTTAGTTGTATACTAGATCTGACAATACTTCGAGTTGACCTTAAATTATGTCAGTGTTTCTAGTCCTGGGCATTGTTAAAGTGCATTAAGATGATTTTGATGAAACCGTATATGCAATTTAAGTGTATAAAGACATGATTTTATATCAATTTCAGTAACTGGATACATTTGTTATACTGTTTGAAATGATTAATGATAATATTAATTGTATTTACACATCTGTCATGTCTGTGGCTTTCAAATGTTGGTTTTGCATGTTCCTGATGAAGTTTTATCAAGAAAGCGATTCGAATTCAAGGAATTGCTTATACATGCACTAGCACTTGGTTGATACTTGTATTAACTTGTTAGTTTCCCGAGAGAATGATCAGCTCTGTAATCAGCATTTCGGGACTGACATCATAAATAATTTATGCCTAAAGTTCCCTGTTGATATATTGAGAATTTAATTAGAAACGAAGGTTCCATTGATAAAAATAGCTTTTACGATCATGTTCTTGTTGTTCATTTAAACGTTCATGCATAATTGCATTTCAAATTGTTGCGTTTTAGCATTGCTGATAAATACAATCCAGAAATGTGCCCAAAGTGCAAACAATGCTTTTTTTTCTCATTAACTAGTAGTTTTATACCAATTGTAACGTATTCATAGATAAATGTCCTTTTCGTGTACTAAATAGTACTGCATCTTTCGTCAGTCAACAAATCGAGATAGAAAAAAGTATAATGTCACAAAAATATTCAAATATAGCCACTACTTCAAGTGCCTGTCAAATCCAAATGATTATAATAACATGCTTAATCAGTACCCGATACAATAGGCATCAACATATAAAAAAAAGAAGAAAATTACCAAGTAAAGATACAATCATCCTATCATAGGAAAACATATTTACCATTTTTGCAAACAAACCATTCTAGTTTTGTTGAGCAATTTCGCCGATGTTTATTTAAAATCTGTTTCCTTTTATCCAAAATGTTTGCAGAGAGGCAAAATTTAGGTACAGCAGTTCTGTCACCTACAACATGATTTGATTTTGATATAAAAATAAGTTTTATATAAAAGATGAATGCTGATCTGCAATAACAAGGACAAGTATATATAAACATACCACATCTTCTTTTTTATATCTTACAAAATATATAAACACAAAGATGCATACATCAAGACTTGCTGTTTTCCACGTTTTACCAGCATAATGTCATACTTTGCCTATATACTAATATTCTATTTGTACTAGACATAAGTCCTAGACAGATTGTCCATGTTGACTTGTAACTTGTTAAGTTAAGAAGATTACAGCCCAAACTAACATATATCATTCTAACATATCCCATTATCTTGAACCTAGGACACTTAGTGTTTGGTTTTACTCCTAAGAGGGGCGAAAGATACTAGAGGGACATTTACACTCATAGATCGAACATAAACTGACAATGCCATGGCTAAAAAAGAAAAAAATACAAACAGACAAATAATATTACACAAGAAACAACATCGAAAACTAAAGACTAAGCAACACGAACCCCACCAAAACTGGGGGTGATCTTACGTGCTACGGAATGGTAACCAGATCCTGCTCCACATGTGGCACCCGTCGTGTTGCTCATTTTATTAGAAACCCGGTAAATAGTCTAATTCGAAAGGTCACATTCGTGAAAAGGGAACGGGATTGTAGTCAAGACATAAGGAACATATCCGATATCACAAATGTCCTAAATGACATGTAAATCAGAAAAACTCAAATATCAATTTTCAAGTCCGTATAATGACTGATCTAGCTGACAATTGAACCTACGCAGCGGCGAGCAATATACATGTATTGTTTTGTTTGCTTGTTTGAATTGTTTAGTCAGTTGTGTTGTATGCTTTTTAATTTAGTACATTTATATATTTAGGAGTTTAGTATCGTCCATTTACACTGAACTAGTACACATTCTTACTAAGGGGCCAGATAAGGCGCACTTCTGGGTGCGGGATTTTCTCGCTGCGTTGAAAACCAACTGGGGACCTTTGGATGTTATCTGCTCTTTGGTCGGGTTATTGTCTCTTTGACATATTCTAAATTTCCATTCTCTATTTTGCATGATTTTTCATTTATGACTAGTATATATATACACACATTTCATTACTAATAATTAAAATGAATGGTTGGAGAAACATGTAGATTATCATGTTATGATAATCGATAGTATGGGGAAATTGTCAAAAAAGTATGTAACTGATAATTATTCAGATAAATGAAAACACAAACAAATCTTATATTTAAAACTTTAAGATCTGTAATATGTTGTCAAAGAATAATGATCTTTATAATACATGTCTCAAAAAATAATAAGTAAAACTAATCGGTAAAGTAGATAAAAATGGAACCCACTTTGGCAAGTATATCAATATATATATATGTTGTGTACAAGTTATCATTTTGTACAAATTATAATTTTTACAAAACAATTGTACAAATTATAATTTGTATTTTGACTTTGTACAAATTGTAATTTGTACAAAAAGTGCTTGTACAAATTACAATTTGTACAAAATTTGACTAAAATTCACTTATAACTTGTACAATAATTAATAGTATGGATTTTGTTGATACACACTATAGAATTTTTTATTCAATGACCACACCATAAACCTTACTTACAAAATACAAAAAATAGTTCTGTATCATTTATTTGGGCATTCGAGTGAATTATGGCATCGGGAATTGCACAACATCTTTTGCTTTTTACATTTACTTTTAGAAGTGCTGCACATCCCTTTGCATTTACATTAAAGGAACGCCTGACCACCAGTTTTTGGAAGCTTTTTAAATGCTTCACGTACTGTAGCGAAAGTTGAATCTCAGAAACCATTGCTGCGAATAAAGATGTGTCTTTAACAGCTTCAATTTGAATTTCTCAACAAATATCCTGTTCAAATTTCTACAGCTGTTCCTATGCGGTACCCAAATTCTCGAGATTCAATAATTACGCCTAAGATATTTCGAGGATCAGTTTGGGCAAGATCCCACTGAGGAATTGGTATAATGACATTATGAACAGCAAGTTCTGATAATTTCTGTTTCGTTTTCTTGGTTAGATATTCGGCTTGGATCTGTTGGATAGACACCGCACGCTTCCTGTCACGTATGATTGGTGTTTCAAAGTCAGTGTCATCCTGATTGTCACTGGGGCCAATTTCTATTATACTATCAGAACAGTCACTGGGGCCAATTTCTATTATACTATCAGAATTGAAACTGGGGCCAATTTCTTTATACTATCAGAACAGTCACTGGGGCCAATTTCTATTATACTATCAGAATTGTCACTGGGGCCAATTTCTATTATACTATCAGAACAGTCACTGGGGCCAATTTCTATTATACTATCAGAATTGTCACTGGGGCCAATTTCTATTATACTATCAGAACAGTCACTGGGGCCAATTTCTATTATACTATCAGAATTGTCACTGGGGTCAATTTCATTATACTATCAGAATTGTCACTGGGGCCAATTTCTATTATACTATCAGAATTGTCACTTGGGCCAACTTTTATTGTACTATCAGAATAAACTGGCATGCATGTATCAATTACATTTCCTGTCTCCATCTGGGTATTTTTGAATTTTGTAAATAAGGTTTATCGTGTGGTCATTGAATAAAAAATCTATAGTTTGTATCAATGTTTTTTATAACAAAATCCATACAATAAATTATTGTACAAGTTATAAGTGGATTTTAGTCAAATTTTGTACAAATTGTAATTTGTACAAGCATTTTTTGTACAAATTACAATTTGTACAAAGTCAAAATACAAATTATAATTTGTACAATTGTTTTGTACAAATTATAATTTGTACAAAATGATAATTTGTACACAACATATATATATATATATATATATATATATATAGATATACAGTCTAAATTGAAAACAACGTTCAAACCTATGATTGCGTTGGATAAAAACCGCAATTTTTATACGTGTGCATGTAAAACAAATTTCTTGTTAGAGGGGTCTAAAAACAGCACAAACAACATTTTCCAAAAGACCAAAAAAGTGAAAAGTATATTTTAACAAATCGCATTTGACTAACAGGTCGAACAACTGATGTTCTTAAACCCTGCTGAATGCCATTGACGATTGCCAAATAAATTGATCACGAGATGTAACATGGATCTTAATTATAAATTTAATACCAAACAGAAAAAACAATAAACTTGCGGAGAAGATGGTATTCCGCAAACATGAGGTGCAAAAATATGTACACCATATCCGGATTTCGACAATTAATGTCTGTTCAGTGATTTTAGGGATCGAATCGGTATTTGGAAGGCCATATAATTTACCTCAATTTAGGATAGACTCTTGAATTTTAAAGAGTCGAAATAGGATGAACGGATCATATAAACCAGAAGGAAAATATAATACAAGCCCAAACGAAAAAATATAAACAAGTCTATATTGAAAACAACGTTCAAACCTATGATTGCTTTGGATAAAAACCGCAATTTTTATACGTGTGCATGGAAAACAAATTTCTTGGTATATATTCTTATATAAATGTGAAACAATCATCTTGCTTCAATCACATTAAACCCTTCTTTTTTGTGGTTTAGACTTGACAATAATAACCTAATGATTGTTCCACTTCTATTTCTTCCCTGAAAACATTTGTCCAAGCAGGCGCTGTTAGACTGAGTGCAAAATGTTGGCAGGCATTTGATTGCAATAATAATTTGTCCTTATTCCAACAGTTTGCACGAGCTTGATTCTGTGAAAGACTCCACGAGTGTGACGTAGACGGCATTCCATCTTCTTTTGAAAATAAGAAATAAAAAAGGAACAATGTATAAAAATAAATATACAAGTTCACAATCAGATATATTCAAATTAAATTCAGGATGACAGTCGTGAATATCAATCTACATCAAGAAAATTGTATTTTTTTTTCTCAAATTGATTTCAATATACATAGAACGTATTGATCATAGTCAAATATTATTCATATTTTCGCAGCATAGAAGCTCTAACAACGAATTCATATTTTCGCAGCATAGAAGCTCTAACAACGAGGTTTAAATTCCAAAAAAGGATAACCCTATACCATATATTTAAGCCGTGATTTATCTTCTAGAACTATTAGCATGAGTTCATCTAATGAAAGAAACAATCACAACTTATCAAAGATACCAGGACAAAATGTGTACGCCAGACTCGCGATTCGTGCACAAAAGACTCATTATCTAATAGAAAATTAAATTGCAAAAACAAGCACGAAGTTGAAGTGCATTATACTCTATTTTCAAGAAACCGGTTGTAGACACGATAATCATGTCATTGATTACATTTTTACTGACGAAGGTGTCGGATCTGTATTCAACGGTTATATCTACTAACACTTAACAATGCATACGTCTTAAATGAGTCCAACCGTAAGCATAATTTTTCATCGCCAATAAAATCAAAAGTCATGTTGTCTACAACTTATTTTGACTTGTGTCTAACGCATGGCGATTAGGAATTTCAAACTATTTTTTTAGGTATTCGACATTTGGTCAAATTCAATTTTATCAGACCAATTCATGTGTATATATAAAACACATGTACGTCCAGAGAAACTAATTTCCCCTGGTATTTAAATCTGTTAAAGTGTTACTCTTTTTGGGGAAATACACATACTTAGTTATGGATTCGTGACACGTCATCACTTTAGCGGCGCACACCAAACGCTACTTTATGTTTGAAGTACAAAACATGCTTCTTAATACAATTTTGCTATTTTATTTCTATAACAGCATAATAAGGACATGCAATATGAATGCAATGACCATACGAAAAGGGTTTATGCAACGACAGTTCTAGAAAATATACTCTTGATGCAAAAAAAAACTACAACAAAAAACGAAACAGAAATCCAAACATTCTCATCTCAGTTATTTGGTTATCAGTAAATAAAAACCAAACTTAGTAGTATTGTAATGCATAAACAGCATGTACATTCACAATTCTAC